GACCAGCTCCGTGTATTCGTCAGCGAGCTTTTGCAGTTCCTCCGGAATGTCCACGGCGCTCTCCGTCAGAACCGTGACAAGGCCAGGAGCATAGCGTTTCTCCTCAGGAGTGATAAAGGTGTGAGCAACTCCCTTGGTGCCTGCGCGACCAACTCGTCCCGAACGATGGACGTAGTCGTGGATTGAATTTGGGCAATTATATTGGATCACAATGTCCAATCCAGGGATGTCCAGACCGCGCGCTGCAACGCTGGTTGCGATCAGGACATTGAAGATGGTCTTCTTGAAATTCTTGATCGCTTCGACACGGTCATCCTGGCTTCGTCCACCATGAGCCGCATCACAGAAAATCCCGCTCTTCATGAACAGATTCTGCACCTCTTCTGACTTCTCTTGCTTGTCGACGAAGATCAGCACGCGACCGGCTTCATTAGAAGCCAGCAAGGTCTGAACAATCTCCAGGGCCTTTGTAAACTTTTTGTCCTCGTCGATGACTTCGATGTGCTGCTCGACGTCAGGCGACACATTGGCCCTGCCGCCACAAATAACCTGGACCGTTGATGATTTGATCAAGTACTTTCGAGCAATCGTGTCCATGTTCTTGGGAAACGTGGCAGAGAACAATGCGGTCTGTCTATCCGGGCGACTGTTCTGCAAGATCTTTTCGACCTGAGGGAGGAAGCCCATATCGAACATCCTATCAGCTTCATCAAGCACGAGATAGGTGCAACGAGTCAAAGACAAGATGCGGCCCTTGTTGGTTCCGAGAAGCTCGATGAAGCGTCCTGGAGTGGCGACGATGAGGTGGACTTTGCGCCGAATCTGGTTGATATTGTCGGACAGCTGAGTTCCACCAGGACAGAGAGCAGCTCTGAGGTCCAACGTCTTGACGAAGGGCAGCGCCTCATTGTAGATTTGCTGAGCCAACTCGCGGGTTGGAGCAAGCACAATAGCAATGGGCCCATCCCTGTCTGAAAGAGGAGGTTGATCCTGGATGTGGCGGAACATGGGCAACAGGAAGGCGAGTGTCTTGCCAGATCCTGTGGAAGCAACAAACATGCCATCGTAGCCTGAACTTAGGCACGGGATGGCCTGCTTTTGGACGGGAGTCGGTTCCGAAAACCCCTTCTCGCGAATGACATCCATGACGCTGACTGAGAGGCCCATCTGGCTGAATTTCGTGACTGGACGGGGAATCGTCAGGTTCTTGCTTCCCTCAGTCTTGATGCCCATCTCGAAACGAATCGCCTCCAATTCTTCCTCAGACCAAGCTGCCACTTCATCTGGCTCCGTGTAGAAGTTCTTGCGAAACTCCATATAGTCGATTTTTGCATGGTCGACCTTTGGAAGCTCCTTCTTTTTCTTCGCGGATTTCTTTTCAGGATCTGGGATCTTGGGTCCACCCTCCACGTCCATGTAGTCGTACTCGTCGTCGCTGTAGATGACTTCGTCTTTCTTCTCGGCAGTTGTGGTACCAGGTGCCTGGTTCTTTGGGCCCGACTCATCAAGCTGACGCATGTAAGCATCCAGCGGGTCTTCCTCCTCATCGACATCCATAGCTGCAGGGGCACTGTCCGCTTCGGGAGTGGCGGCGGCGATTGCTGCGGCAGCACGGGCACGGCTCAAGTGTTCCGCTGTAGGCATGTCTTCATTGCCATCGTCGCCGTCATCTTCCTCCATCGGCGTGTCGTCGAATTCACCGGCCACTGGAGAGGGGAGGCGTTCCAGCTTGCGCTCCTTGACTTCCTCCTCCTCCTCAAACTCGAAGTTGAGTTTCTTTGGCGACTCTGCCCTTGGGCGCTTCGATGTGATGCCAAAGCTAGTCGCCTTGAATGGACCTGTGTTCTGGAGGAGCCTCGGAGCTGTAGCACGCTTCGGGGCAAGAGGCTTGTTGGAGGCCGCTGGGATGGCGACGTCCATGCCCAGCGCGGTTGGTGCACGCTTGGTCTTGGTTGCGCGCTTGATGATGGCCTTGGGATCGAACGGGCCGGCGTATGGAGCTGAAGGAGCTGAAGGAGCAGGAGAAGCGGGCGCGGGAGACTTTGGGGATGCGACGACGGAGGGTGAGCTGGCGGTGGCAGGCGCACCAAGTGAGCTCTGCCTGGGTGCGACGCCAGCAGGTTCCTTGACGCTGGTTTCAGCAGCAAGCTTCCTCTTCTTCCACTCTTCGAGCTTGGCTTGTCGCGACAATTTGTCGTCTTGCTTGGCGGCCGGGGAAGTCACGATCGCCTCACGTTGCTCCTCACGGGATCCCTCTTCTCGGCGGTCTGGGCGAGGGCGGTCGTGTGGGTGCTTTTGTGCGTAGTCGCGGCTACGATGAGCATCTCGGCGTTCGGGACCAGGCGAGCGAGAGCGGCGCGTCTCGCGAGATGGTCGGTAGGTAGAAGATGCATGCCTAGAAGAGCCATGCCGAGTGCCAGTCGTCGTCATGGCGTGTAAGTATGATCCACTACAGCGAAAAGACCTGGAAAACTCACCACTTCACTTTCCCGGTGACTGCGGTGACCCCTCACGTCTTCCCTCCGATCTCGTCCTGTGCGGTCGTCACGACGGCCACCATGGCGGCGATCGCGACTGCGGTCGCGAGGATCCTCTCGCTCGTCTCGGCGGCCATCACGGCCTCGCCTCGTGTGGGCGCCTGTGGGGGAGGGTGAGCGCATGCCACGACGGTCCATGGTGACCAGGCGGTGCGGAGGTTACTTTTGAAGGTGAGCTCAAGGTCCAAAACAGAGGTGGGGGTGAAGTCGCAAAGTGTCACGCCAGCGGCGGCACGATTGGCTTACTTGAGGTTTGAAAGGGTATTTGAATGATTATTGACTGAGTGCAGTGTGTTTAAGAGAGCGTTGATGGTGCTGGTGGGTGGGGCGGTGAGGGTGGAGTGTGGTGTTGTGGAGAGGGTTTGCTGGTGACCGCGGCCGATGGAAGTTGAGCTGTAGTCGAAGATTGTCAGCCCTATGTGCACAGATCATGTCGACCTGTCTCCATGACTCAGCAGGCTCATGGCTAAGCAGATGTCTCCGAAATCGACCTCGAACTCGACCAACTCGGCTCACGACGTCGACTTGCTCGAACCTTCAAGAGCTCCATATCTGCAACCAGTCCATTGCCAGACAGACTTTCCCGTATTGTCTGAAACTCTCCGGGAAGGTAGATCTTATTGTCCACTAAGACTTCTTCACTTAGATCTCGCAGATTCTATGACTTGCAGAGTCTACTACCAAGAATCGTTCATTTAGATCTCGCAGGTTCTACGATTTGCAGGATCTACCACCAATAATCATTCGCTTGGATTTCGAAGATTTTAAAGTTGCAGAGTCTACCACTAAGAATCATTCACTTGGATCTCACATATTCTATAATTTACAATACTTCAGATCTCCCATAACACGACCAGTTCAGTTGTAAGTCTCGATAGTGTCCAGTTACCAGGCAGCCATTCTAGGACTATCTGAAGCTCTCCGGGAAGGTAAATCTCATTATCCACCAAGAATTTTTCATTTAGATCTCGCAGATTCTATACTTTGCACAGTCTACCTCTAATAATCACTCAATTGGATGTCGCAGATTCCAAAATTTGCAGTCTACTACCAATAATCATTCTATTGGATCTCGCAGATTCTATAGAATGGAAAGTCTACCGCCAATTATACAACCAATTCAGTTGTAAATCTCAATGGGTTTTGGTTGCCACGTAGCCTTTCCAGTGCTATCTGAAGCTCTCCGGGAAGGTAAATCCCATTATCCACCCAGAGCTTTTCGTTTAGATCTCGCAGATTCTATGATTTGCAGTATCTACGACGAAGAGTCATTCACTTGGATCTCGCAGATTCTATGATTTGCAGTATCTACGACGAAGAGTCATTCACTTGGATCTCGCAGATTCTATAATTTGCAGAGTTTACCTCCAAGAATCATTGACTTGGATCTCGTAGAGTCTTTGATGTGCAGAACCTACTTCATATAGTCCCAAGGTTAGACGCCTTAATTCCAGTTACCAGATAGCCTTTTGTTACGGCTTGGGGTCCGGGGACTGCGTACGTCTGACAGGACGGGACGGTGTCTCACAAAGTACTCGTGAAGAGGAGTGTCGAAGGCGGGCAAGGAAGTAAACAGTGATTGTCAGGCAATGAAGTCAATGTTCCAAACAGTGAAATCTGTCGATGATATTAAACGCGAACCTGAGAAGCAGGTCCGCAGGGAGAACTATATACCTGAGAGTTCTCTGGATGTTCACCTTGGTTCACCATGATCACTCGTGAACTGCGTGAACCTATGTTCACCGCGTGATCCTGAGTCTTGGCGTGAACATCCGCAGCGCGCATGTGCCGCGCTGGCACGTGTGTCAGAGTCCGAGAGGTCGGGACTAATCAAATCCTAACACCTTTTAGTACTTTCTAAAGCTCTCCGGGAAGGTGAATCTCATCATCTACCAAGAGTCGTTTACTTAGATATCGTAGATCTCGACTTCTTCGACCTTGAGAATGCCAATTCTGCACGAACTGAATTGTAAATCTCAATGCTGTCTATGTGAGTAGGTCCAGCTGCCAGGCAGCCTTTTATAAACTCCTTTGAAGCTCTCCGGGAAGGTTAACCTGATTATTCATCAAGGGTTTTTTTGAAAGGGTTTGCACTGAAGGTCTGCAGTGCAGCCTTGAAATTGATTATTGCGAAGATGAGGGATCAACTAACGATCCCAAGGACTGCCTATATAACCTGTTACCCCTCTACGACTACTGTAGCCTAATGCTTAGCAAGACGAAGGAAACAATGGAACATTCCTGGCTGGAGCCTGGAGTGCTGCAGTTCTGCCTACCAGGCTACCAGCCCATCACAGCCTCGTCTATCTGGGACTACGCCACAGGCGTCAGGACCTTGACATTTCTTACTTAGATCTTGCAAAAAATCAATAATCGTTAGCGATATAAGACTTGAAGCTAATAACGTTATCATAACCGTTAACGATATACTAACGCCAAGCCTTTACTTATGACATCACTTCTGGCCGATTACATGTGTCATCAACATCGCTCAATCCACTTCAACTTGATTAACTCTGAAGATCAAAATTGCTTTATATACTTGCTCTATGAACTGTTCTACCGCTTCGTCTGTAAAATCAGAATCAAACCTTGTGGTTCTATAGGCAAACCCATTCCATACTGACTCACTGGCCGGATATGCCCTTCTCTTATCCAATTGCCCATACACTCAACTTTCTGGATATTGCTTAAGAGCATCCATGAGTGCGAGGGATTGCGCAATAGACGACTTCTTGCCTTCTGCGTACAACGTACCAGCAGCAAAAGGCTGGAGAAATAATGAGCCTTCGTTAGAAGATCCCAATCGCTGACCGTGAGTCTATTATCGCCCATTTCTTCTTCATTCCTCATGATAAACTCTATCACCTGCGCCTTACACTTCAAGATATTT